GGACTACCACTAAAGATCACGCGTCGCAATAAATAGAGAAAATCTTTAGGAACTCGAGTAGTACACGCGCGTATTAGTTAGTAGTACACGCGTGATTTTTATTTATGCGTGTAATTAGTAGTAGTACACGCGTGTATTAGTTACAGTAGTACACGCGTGTATTAGTTAGTAGTACACGCGTGTATTAGTTAGTAGTACACGCGTGTATTAGTTAGTAGTACACGCGTGTATTAGTTAGTAGTACACGCGCGTATTAGTTAGTAGTACACGCGTGTATTAGTTAGTAGTACACGCGTGTGTGTGATGTTGAGTGATGTGTGTTGTGATGTAGTTAGTACGTACACGCGGGTAGTAGTAGTAGTATCACGCCGGGTATGAGTTAGTAGTGACCAGCCGTGGGTGAGTTTAGTAGTAGTACACGCGCGTCATTAAGTTAGTAGTACACGCGCGTATTAGTTAGTAGTACACGGGTGTATTTCTACGTTAGTAGTACACGCGCTGTATCTAGTTAGATAGTAACACGCGTGTATTAGTTAGTAGTACACGCGTGTAATTATAGTAGTCACGCGGTATAGTTGTTAGTAGACCCAGCGCTATTGTTAGTAGTACAACGCGTGTATTAGTTAGTAGTACACGGGCGTATTAAGTTTAGTAGTTACACGCCGCTGTATTAGTTAGTAGTAACACGCGTGTATTAGTAGTAGTACACGCGTGTATTAGTTAGTAGTACACGCGCGTATTAGTTAGTAGTACACGCGGTAATTAAGTTAGTAGTACACCGATGTATTAAGTAGTAGTACACGGTGTACTAGTTAGTAGACACGCGCGTTATTTAGTTAGCTAGTCACGCGTGTATTAGTTAGTAGTACACGGCGATATTAGTTAAGTAATACACGGTGTATTAGTTGTAGTACCACGCGCGTATTAGTTACGGTAGTACACGCCTCCCAGCCGATGTGTGTGTTGGTGTGTCCTTTCCGCCCGAATGTATTAGTTAGTGTACCACGGCTGTATTAGTTGAGTAGTACACGACTGTGTATTCGGTCGCTGCCCTCCGGTGGCTCCGGAGTCCACAAGTGTGCCTTGGTCCCCCTAGTCTCTGTTAGTAAGTACACGCGCGTAATATGTTAGGAGTACCACGCGCGTATTAGTTAGGTAGTACACGCGTGTATTAGTTAGTAGTACACGCGTGTATTAGTTTCACATTTAATTATAAAACTATTTGTGTATTTTGAACTACTAGTTTATTCACCTCAATAAGTGGCTGGACCGAAATGATTATTCACACACACAAGACACGCCCGCGCACACTCACACACGCAGACGCACGCACACACACGCGCACGCACACACACGCGCGCACACTCACACATGCACGCACGCACACACGCACGCGCGCACCTACGCGCCCACACACACACACACACGCGCGCGCACGCACGCACGCACGCACGCACGCACGCACGCACACACACAAACACACACACACTCAAGCACAAGTAATAATAAAATGTTCCGACAAATCACTCACGCTATATGTAGTAACATGGCTACAAGTAACGCGTTAAAAATTATTATCAAGTATATTAAATCCAGGGCATGCATCATGATCAGGCAGTCATACGTACCTAGACAGGTGCGTGGATAGTCCACGTATAGTTTACACCACCAGTAGGGTCTTGGATATTTGACGGTTCTTCGCAGCGTTCCTTCTATAACGTCTGATGCACGACTCTTCAGAGTGTCGCTCTGAGTAGTAGGAATAGGTTCTTGTGCTATCCTGAAAATATGTAGCGAGAGAGTGTGTCTAAGAGCGCGAGCGAGAGAAGGAGAGAGAGAGAGTGAAGCAAGCCGGCCAACAATCAGACAGACGGACGGACGGACAGACAGACAGACGGACAGACAGTCAGACGGACAGACAGACATAAAGAGGACAAACAGACAAGTGAAGATGGAGAGAAGGGAAAGACAGATGGCGAATACATGCAATAGCATTGTAAACACACACGCGCACGCACGCACGCAGACGTACGCACGCACGCACACACGCACGCACGCACGCACACACACACACATGCGAGGAGACGAGACGACACGACGACGCGCGCACGCACACACGCCCACGCACACACACACACGCGCGCGCGCGCACGCATGCACACACACACACACACACGCACGAACGCACGCACACACACACACACGTGTATAAAGACATGAAAACTGGGAGCAGAAGTCTCTGACCGACCTCCAACACTGACGACCTAGAATACATTGTATTGTAACAGAACTAACGGTTGAAACTAATCTACTGCAGCCTTTACACGTACGTACCTGTGTCTGTGTGTCGGAATCGGCAAACTGTCTTCGGGGTTTATTTTGAAGCGTGCTGCATTTCTGGAGGCTACCGGCGGCTTCTCACTCCTCATAGATGCTCTGTGCTTTTTCTTTGATGAATCCGTTTTCTCTTTCATTATGCCCAGCCTCCCGCTGTCTCTCTCGCGCACGTAATCTCACTCGATCCCTGTCAGACGGACTCACGCATGACCTATACGGGGAGGCTAATCTATGTGCCCTATACCCTGCTTTATTCATGCGCGTGCCGCCCAGCAACTGCTGCATCGATATGCCAATGCAAATATTGTTCAGTTGCTGTTGGTGACTCGGGCGCCGGTGAACATATTGATCAGTTGGTACGCGCTATAAAACATCTCACGCACGTATTATACAATACAAGAAGGTATTTATAAACCCAGCCAAACATGGGCGACTTTCTTGCGTATAGGAGAACTTAACATGTGAAAGTAAAGAGGCCAAATGTACCGGTACAGCCAATTGTACCGGTACAGTACAATATGTATGAGTTATGCCAAACACATTAATATTTCTGCAGTGAACCTTTAGCGCCAAACGCGAGCTTTGGTGTGCAGACGACCTCAACGAAACAACTTTGGGTTTTCGGAGCTATTCGGTTTTCAGAATTTCGGATAATAGATTGCGTACTACATAATATTTGCCGCACTACTGAGACTGACAGAGTCTTTGAGATGCCCACGCTCGCGCTTACATTGTATAACATAATGTTCTGTACTGTTGCAATATATGCGGTAGAAGTGAGGATGATGGAGGGAGCGGGAGGAAGGAGAGAATCTCGTTTCCTCTTCCCACTCTTCTACGCTCCTTCTTTATGCCCCACATCACATTCTACTTTCCTAAGTTCTCCTTCGGCTATCGTCACACCTCCCATCTTTTTCCTCTCCTACTTCTAGTGTCTTCCTTCCCCAGAGTCTCCCTTCCATCACTATCATTCCCTGTATCACCCTCACCAATTCCTGCTCCTCCCGATTCCCTTCCTCCTATTCGCTCTCTTTCCTCCCTCCCGCTTCTCTCCTTATCTACTCCCAGTACTTCTGTCTCTATTATAGCATATTAAAATTAATTGTGACATAACAATTACTTTAGACGTTGATCGTAGATTCCGCCTCAATCTTATGAATCAATTTTCGGAGTAGAGTAAGTTCCTACACGTACGCGATAAATTTTCAGCGGGATTCACCCCATCCCTCGACAGCCAATCCTTCGCACATCAAGTGAACAATTTCAACACCGCTGACATTTTTAGTCTATAATGCTGCTAGGCAACATTGATTCTACAAGATTTTACACAGTTAGCTCATGTATTATTTATATATTATATGCATAGAGTGATTAAGTTATTTAGCACAAATTAGTCGAGTGATATAGTTATTTTATTAGTGAGCACATTAAATGAGTGTGCATAGTTACGTTGTAGATGTACGTGCTAATTGACTAGCTCGAACTCTAAACATTATATATATTACCCACAGAATTATGTCAAGATGCACAGGTGTTGCATTGCACAAGCATCAGTTGACACACAGGATCTCGTAAATAAATAGCAAGGAAGGTCTCCATTTTGGGCATTATTACCTCCGCCAAGGAGTTGGCAGGTTATATTTTCACCGGCGTGCGTTTGTTGATTTGTGGGTTTAGAACTTAGAATTGATTAAATTTTGGTGGTGATCCGAATCCAATTAATTATTTAATTAATTAATTAATAAAAATTTGCAGTGACAGAATTGAGCTGCCTTGGCGGAGGTCTGCGCTCTCCGAGTGCTCTAATTATTATTATTTTACTCATAAACATAA